AGTTAAGCCCACCAGGGGGCGGGGCTGGCTGGCATGTGGTCCTGGGGATTGAACTGTGGTCCCTGTGCTTTTGCTTAGCTTGTTCTAAGTAGGTGCTTTAGACCACTGAGCCGTCTCACCAGCCCAATCCCAGCACTTTTGGAAGTATTTCATGTTTGAGCTCAGCCTAGGCAGGTTAGCAGTTTAGTTGAGACCCTGTCTAAAAGGCTAGGGATATAGCCCAATTGGAATGACATACTTTTAATCCCTGGCAGCACAAACAGAAAAAAAAGTGTATTAATAACTGTGGTGTTTTGTATGACTACAGTTTAGACCTAGGGCTTCACACTAAACTACATTGCAGCTGGGGATGGTAGTGTGTTTCAGTAATTCTAACACTTAAGAGGCTGAGGCAGTAGTATCTCTCTTGAGTTCAGAGCCAGCCTCGGCTACATAGTAAGTTGGAAGGCAAGCCTGAAATAATAGAGATTGACAGTGTTCTGAAAAACTATACATAAATACATACACCCACAGTAAAGGTACATTTTCAACTCTTGGGGGCTGTGTTTTAACTGTATTTTGGAGGCTGAAATCAAATTTTACGAACTTTTTGTTTTGGTCTCCTAGAGTGCTTACAACTGTGCCACTGTAATCACTTTGTTATTTGTGTATTTGTTAATAGTTTACTACAGGAAAAATCCTTGTATTCTCAGGTTTTTCAGTCTTTTGGTTTGTATGGCAGTCCTGCCTCAGTCAGCTTTAAGGTGCTGGGGATTATTGGTGTGTCCCCAGTCAAAAATTTTGGATTTTTCTGATAACCAAATTGATTTTTATCCTTAAAATGGTGATAACTGATAGTTTGAGAAGATAGCATAGGAAAGGTAGAATACTGAGTATGAGCCCCCAAAAAGTCATTATATTTTAGTAGTGGAAATTTATAACCTGCACTCAAAGTAAGGTTTTGGATGAAAGTCAGCACCTACTAGATGCTCAGGACACAATCTACCCCTGTAAAATAGTGTCCCCAGCCTCAGAAATTAGCTATCCTTGATTGCACTATGTAGTCCTGGTGGGCCTACAGCTCATAGGGAGCCACCTTACTCAATCTACCAAGTGCTGGGATTAGAAACATGTTACAACATGCTCAGCTAGAACCAGTGTTGTGTGTCTTACTTTCCTTTGATTGCCCCTTGCAGCTATTAATATGTTAATACAGCTGTTTTTAAAATACAAGAGACTTATAATAAAATGGCTTTTATATTTTGAGATATTTTCTCACTATGCAGAATTTAAAACTCAGTTTTTAGCACAGGCTGATAATAAATTTGTGGTAGTCCTACCTTGAGAGTGCTGGGGTTACAGGTGTTGGCCACCTTACCTGGCTCTTAGCATGCCTATGTTTAAGAATATATGCAACATTTTGCTAGTTCAATTGGTGTTATAAAACAGTTTAATACTTTCTTACAGAGAAGAAGAAGTTGGATGGGATACAGAGATAAAGGATGATGTGATAGAAGAGTGTAATAAACATGGAGGAGTTATTCATATTTATGTTGACAAGAATTCTGCTCAGGTATTTTCTTTTTATTTATGTATTTATTTTTATAGTTCCGTTGACATACTAGGTTCTCTAGTTCGCATACTTGGGACACATGATTCCCTGCATCCCATTAATGATTATTTCTGAAAGGAGCTTTAACATATGGGCAAGATACAGTCGCAAAAAGTTAAAAACTTGTACTAGAGGGGCCAGGGAGATGGCTCAGTAGAATAAGTCCTTGCCCAGCAAGCACAAGGGCCTGAGTTCAATCCCTGGTTCCACAAAAAAAAAAAAAAAATACAAAAAACTTGTACTAGAGTCTAACCTGTTTCAAATAATGTTAATTACACAAACATTTTATAGTTGTTGGTGTGCACATTAGCCATTACAATATGTGAAAAACTTTTTGGTTATAATATAGTGTTTTGTATAGGCAGTTTGAATAAATTTGTGACTTCATGTTATTTATGTATATAGCTCATGATGCTGTCTTTATTTTTGTGCCTTAGGGCAATGTGTACGTGAAGTGCCCATCAATTGCTGCAGCTATTGCTGCTGTCAATGCATTGCATGGCAGATGGTTTGCTGGTGAGTTTTTTTTGTTTTGTTTTTTTGAGGGATTGTGATTAAGGATCTAAACCACAAAGTAATGGTGCTAAACCCAATGTATCTGCTTCTTTTAACAGGAAAAATGATAACAGCAGCATATGTACCTCTTCCAACTTACCACAACCTATTTCCTGATTCTATGACAGCAACACAACTACTGGTTCCAAGTAG